ATATCAGTAGTAGAAAAATGTTATATTATAGAATATCATGGATCAGGATAATATAATATTACGGAATATCATAAAATAAATGAATATAATAATATTAAATATTAATAAATAAATAAATAAAAATATAATATAATATCATAGAGAATATCATAGAATTAAAAAATATAATATTTAATGACAATAATATGGAAATAATGAAACAGGAGAATAGAATATTATGGAATATCTTTGAGTATATAAATAGGATATTATAAAATTGTATTACAAAATAGAATTATTAGAGAATAATTAATTATTAGAATTATAATTATTAGATAATAATAATCGTTTTTAACTGCACTGTCGAACAGTCCGCCGCCTGGCTAAAAAGTCTGACGTCGGAATTCTCATTAAAAAACGGAACTCAATTGCCTGTGCTGAGGGTTGATGAGGGTACATATATATATACGACTGACAGCCGGTGTAACGCTGCTTCACGACAACGCACGACCTCACGTCTCCCGTCAAACCCAGGAACTTTTGACACACTTAGGGTGCACTGTCATGCCCCACCCACTTTATAGTCCGGACCTCGCGCCTAGTGATTATCACTTGTTCCCCAAGTTAAAGGAACACTTGGGTGGCCAACGCTTCCGGAGCGACGATGAAGTCAAAGAAGAGGTGAAATGCTTCCTCAACGGGTTGGCGGCGGAGTTCTACAACATTGGGATACAGAAATTGGAGCACCGTCTACTAAAATGCGTAGAAAAAGATGGCGCTTATGTAGAAAAATAGAGCAAAGTTTCATTTTTCCAACGATGTAAATTTCTATGAGAATAAACAATGTTGTCTATTTGTAAAATTGTTGGGAACCTTATTTCTGGATCAACCCTCGTATATACCGAATAAGTATCCACCTTGACGTGGTGGAGGGGCTTACGGTTGCACATGGGTCTATCCGTCTAGAATAGTCGCGCGTGCAACCAACAATGAGGGTCCCTCCAAGTCAAGGTGTTAGCAACCGTATTGAGGACTGCGTGGTACAGAGAGAGCTGTGTCTTAAACGGTGCTTCCCGGATATCGGGTAATATAATACGCGCCAAGCCCCGAGTCGCGGCTAAGAGCCCGGGTGAAACCGCTTGTCCGCATTATTTGTGGGAAAAAAATGCAACATGAGAGCAATAATAATAATAATTTCAATTCAGCTGTCGAAGGTCTAGCTGCTCTACGTAGCGAAAGCCCGGAAAAGCAAAGTGCGGGGACGGGAAAGAAGATCCGCATTTGGTATAGCGGAACTGCTAGGCGCCACTATAAGAAGCAGCTTCTGAAGGAGGGACTGGAAGATAATAATAATAAGTCCCAATCAAGACCAAGCTTAGGGACTGCTTCCACCTCAAGAACGGAGGAGCAAACTTCTGAGGGTGCGTGCAAACGCCCCAGGCAGGAGCCGATCACACCTAGTCCTTCGGGTGACAAACAATCAGGCAAAAGGCCAAAAGTCGGTGACTAATGAACTTTTGCTCTGGCCGCCTCGGGGGTGATCAGGAACTATCGTTCCAATGGCTTATCCTGACGTACAACTGAATAGGAAGAAGTCGACTAACTCAAGAAGCGAGTGGAGGACTGTATCCTTTTCTTAGCCAGAGGTACAAAAGGCCCTACCTTCAAAAATACGCCGATAACGCCGTCGTTTTTAACTGCACCGTCGAACAGTCCACCGCCTGGCTGAAAAACCTGACGTCGGAATTCTCATTAAAAAACGGAACTCAATTGCGTGTGCTGAGGGTTGATGAGCTGCAAAAGCGACATCAGGTCGTAGTGCATGTTGAGAACCCGAAAATACCTGTCAAAGCTGGTTTAGAACTCTTTGACAGGCAGAACCCAAATATTGGAAACGACTGGGTAGTCGCGAAGAGGAACAAAACGGGAATGCCACGAGCACCCACTTCGCTGCCCTTGTTAGGGAAGGGAGGGCACTAAAAGCCCTCAACTTTAAATTTTTCTGTGAGCTGAACCAAGCACTGTAAGGTTGGTTGGGGAGAACTGCAGGAAGGCTACCAAGAAAAACGATCAGTCGGGGTCTGTTTAGAATGGTGGGCTCTGAGATTCCTTTTTTGTAAATTAATTTGCATCGCAGCAAAGGCACCTCAGCGTTCCTAGTCAGGAGCATGGCTATGATGCGGACAAAACCAGCACTAATAGCACAAATAGAGCTAGTGTAAGAGCCATAGCTAGTTGGGGACAGAATTAGGAACCTAATCAGGTGTGGGAAAATCTTATGTGTAAATGACATGAGAAAAACTAGAACCTGCATTATCACAAGCAACGTAGAGACCACTCTTCTACAAAGCTTAACAAAGTTCAGCGGCAGTAATGTAACGGTTGTACAAATGAAAGTCTGAAGAAGGGATGGGAGATTTTTAAATCTAGTCTTAGGATTAATATATATATATATATATATATATATACTTTATGATGCGGGGGATACTCTTCTCCGATGAAATTTGCATTATTTGCAATAAAATCTAGAGGTTTCTATAAAAAAAAAAATACTAGTTGACTTTCAAATAGCCTTTAAATTCGACCTCAAGGTCAAAGTTACGGTCACTATTGAGTTTTGTCCTCAAAGTCCTAAAAGTTTCGTCTCTGCTATTGTTTTCCTAAAGTGCGCGTTCCAGCTATTGTTTTCCTAAAGTTCTCGAAGTAGTTCATGGGTTCTATACTTTTGCCTTATTCTGTATATAATTTGTATAGTAAAACATTGGAAAGTAATACGAAATTTACGGTAAAATCATTATAGTTTCGCTGTAATGGTCTATTGGGATTATATATGAAACAGAGAAACCAAAATCACGCGGAAAGAAATACGTTTAATTTTTTTCTATGTATCATTTCTATGTATCTCTATATATTTCTATGTATCATTTTAAGCAGGGAAATCATACCGAGCTGTCCAAACCGAGCGTAAGCAACATCATGAAAAAGATAAGTGCCCAAAACATTGATCCAGGCATAGTAGCAATAGCTGCTGGATAAACAATGAAGACCAAACCGGGCCCTTCTGTGGCAACATCTTGGATGGATTTTCCACTTGCACGTGCCATGTAACCGAGTACCGAAAATATAACAAATCCAGCAATAAAGGACGTTGCGCTGTTGATCAAACTCGTCAATAAAGCATCTCTGTGGAAAACGTTAATGTTAAACATATACGAATTGTCATATACGTTACGTGATATATTGTGTCCTTACTTGTAAACATTGTTATGATACTTATTGTAACTTGCATAAGCGAGCAACACTCCAAAACCTGGTCCTAAAGAAAAAAATACCTGTGTTGCGGCATCCACCCATACCTAGAACAGAAATAAAATCAATATACATAAACTATAGAGAAGAAACGTACAAATGTTACAATATTGTTGTAATATTGTTTCATAAAATATGAAACAGAATATAAGAGAATAATATTGGGTCTATGCATAATTCTGTAGCGAAAATCGAATAAATTTCGAACGCAAAATAATTAGCAAAAAAAAGATTTTAATTAACTAAATATGTATACTGTTCAAAGTATCTCAAAGTATAGGTCTCAATCTTTCAAATGCCGTTGAGTTTGCTCAAATATCTGTTTTTGTCAGCGATATATGTTATTTAAAAAATTTTTAATTGCATGAATTTCACAGGCCGACAAAATTTGGCAAAAACATTTTACCAGAAACCGGAGTATAGTATCCCGAAGGTTTTTAACACGCTGAATTAAAATCTGGCCTCAGAAATGCTCGTTTGACTCAGGTTTGGCTCAGATTAAATCTATGCAATTTGAAATTTTTAAGTTATATATATGCACAAAAAGTTGTGTAACAGTATAATTATATTCAAATTATGTTTTGTTTTGATCCCCAAATGGGGATCGTGGCAGCTAATGGGTTAATGTGTGTTATCAAAGATATGGTCCTGAGTAACAATTGAAAGGTTTTACACGTCACTTACTATTCATTTAAAGGATATTAACAAAATTTTATATTAAATTAGTCAGTCACCTACTTCAGACTATCAAAGCCCGACTATAAACAAAATTTTTAGTTAGTTAGTTAAAATTTTTAATTAGTAGTTCAGTGAAAAAACTTAAAGTACCGGTCGATGTGGATATATGAGTGTAACGTATTTTCCTTGTTCTGTTTATATCTTTTTAACGAACAGTGAGCGACGGGTAAAACCTTCGGAAAATTATTCAGGAGAGTGATTTCTACTAAATATGTCAAGATCAAAGTCACTGGAGGTGAGTTTGCTATAGTAAATATGTGTACATGTTTCAAACTTCTTTTACTAATAATTTTTTAATAAACGATTAGCGACGCATAAAACCTTTTGATTGTTCCTCAGGGCCATGTCTTTGGTAACATATGTCAAGGTCAAGCCCATCGTAGGTGGCACCAGTTTTCTTTACATTTACTGTTATTTCTGTTCTTATTGCCTCTTTGCACTCACAAAATAATTACAAAATTATTATTTTAATAAAAGAGAAAAGATGAAATAATTATCAACACAAAGGACCGAACTCGGGCCTCTTACCAGTTAGATACCCTGCCGCGCTTACACACTGCTTCGAACTTTGAACGTGCTATGCATAATCTATGAGCGTGGATTTCCTTGTCAGATTCACGCGGAAAAAGTATTAGCAGCTTCGTTCACATTAGCCCAGTCGGAGCGAGCATTCTCTCTCTCTCTCTCTCTCTCTCCTTCTCCCTCTCTCTCTCTCTCTCACACAGTAACAGTACCGTGTATTTACGCGGCAATGTAGTTGTCAACGCCCAAGACATCAATATAACTATGAAAGTAGCTGAGTAAGATAGTCAGCAAAAGTGACAACGTGCCGGAAAAGGGAATACATATATGACGGATGATTATCATAATAAATATGCTAGAGGCGTCTAAAATGATATGGGCTGGTTGTAAAAATAACTTCGTATAAGATTAACATTTCCAAATGTTATAATATATAATATAAAATATCAGAAGCGTTTTTATTAAAGTGGGATATTAATTAATATTGTACATATGCCTAATGTGGGTTATTAATTAATATTGTAAATATGCTTAATTGTCATGCAACATAAAAGATTAGAAATAATATTAGGTGCTTGAATTAATTTTCGCAGTATTTGTTACAAAAACTCACGTTCGTTTAAAAAAAAACAGAACAACATATCTTCTTCAAAATATTGTCTTTCGTAAACTACAACCCTTTTCCGCTTTTTGAGCAATACATGGATTCCGCGGGAGAAAAATTCGGGTTCATTCCAAGCGATTCAGTCATCGAGTTTTTTTTTATATCTTCGAAAGAACTGAAGTACTGCTCAAAAAGGCCATGCTACGTCGACCAAAACAAATGATAATCTGAAGAAACAACCTCTGGTGAAGAGCGCGGGTGGGATAAGACGTGCCATCTAACTGCTTCCAAGATTTCCTTCACTGGTGTTGCAACATGATGTCCAGCATTGTCATGGAGAAGAATAATTTTGTCATGCCTTTTGGCGTATTACGGGCGTTTTTCTTTGAATGCTCGATTCAAATTCAATAATTGTTGTCGGTAGTGTTCACTAGTGATAATTTGACTCGGTTACAGAAGCTTATAATATACTATACCGATTTAATCCCATCAAATGCATAGCATGATATTCTTTACATGAATATTCTATTTTGGCGTTGATGTTAATGGTTCGTCGGGACGCACGTATGATTTCTTGCGCTTAGGATTATCATAACGAATCCATTTCTCATCGCCAGTCACATTTCGATACAAGAACGACGTCTGTTTTTGTTCTTGAAACAGCAATTCACAAATGGTTAAACGTTTCACAATGTATCTTTCTCTCAATTCATGTGGGACCTAGTTTCCTACCTCCTGGATCATTCCCATTAAGTTTAGACGTTTGCTAACGGTTGACTCATCGATATTTAATATTTCCGACAACTCTTTAAACATCTGACAAGAATCTTCCACTAATACTTCTAATTCTCCATCTTCAAACTTTCTCGGCTGACCAGAGCGCTCTCTGTCAATCACATCAAAATCGTTGCCTGTGAATTGTCTAAGCCAACCTCTGCAAGTTATTTCAAATAGAGCATGTTCCGCATAATCCTCCACTAGCAAACGATGACTTTCAGCAGCAGATTTCTTGAAATCAGAGCAAAAAAATAATGCTTTTCGCAAATGCTCTTTTTGGTACGAAAGCCGACGTTTTTATGCAATAAAAAGTTATTTTCTTTGCACTACGATCTAATGTCAACTCGATAATTAACGCTTATTAACAGTATTTTCATATACATCAACAGTCACTTTCGGCTATTTTGAAGTAGCACAACTGTTGATCTCTATTACAGCGGACGTCAGCTACATTCGGACAAAATAAACACTATATTTAACAAAAGTTTAGTTTATTGGTCAAACGTACAAAATTATATAAAAACTTTTTTTCGTGTCATTTGTGGAACCCTTATGTACAAAATTTACTTAATATTACCACCGTATGTCGCAATTACTACCTCGATCCTGAGCCTGAAGCGGTTACACGCTCTCTCGTCGGCTTGTACATATTGTAGAATGCTGCTTCAACAACGGCCTGGAGAGAGAGCCATATTAGGATGTCTCGACTTTTTAATGACCCTTTCAATCACGCTCCACATATAATATTGGGTGAGTGCAAAAGTTCGTGCGGAGGTGCAATAGATGGCGTTAGAAGCGGCGTAAAGTTTTGTCATTAATACCGCCATCTCCGTAAGACATATCGTTGGAAAGGTGACGTGTGCAGCGTTCATTTCAAACAAAAGAATTTGTGTAGATACGAACTGCTTCGAGAAAGATTACTTTCAAAATGAGTGTCGAAAAGGTGCATTTACGGCATGTTATGCTTTACGAGTTTCGGAAAGGAATAAACGTTGCAGCAGCCGTAAAAAACATTCAAGAGGTTTATCAAGATCAAGCACCAGCTAAACGAACTGTGGAAAAATGGTTTGCGAAATTTCGCCGCGGACAGTTTAACCTTGAAGACGAGCCACGCTCAGGTCGACCTTCAGACATTGATGACGATGTTGTGCGAACTTTAGTTCAGAATACTCCGCGAATTTCAACAGAGGAAGTTGCTACAGCACTTAACGTTGACCGATCAACCGCTTTTCGGCGTTTAAAAAAAATCGGTTTCGATTTGAAGCTCGATGTATGGGTGCCCCATTTGATGACGGAGAGGAACAAAATCCAGCGAGTTTCTGCTGCCGTTTTTTTACTCGGGCGGCTCAAAAACGAGCCGTTTTTGGATCGATTAGTGACGGGCGATGAGAAATGGGTCCTGTACAACAATGTTCAGCGCAAACGCACATGGAAACAGGCAGGTGAGCATGGTGAAGCAATGGCAAAGGCCGGTTTACACCCGATGAAGGTGATGCTCTGTGTTTGGTGGGATTGCAAGGGCATAATTTATTTTGAGTTTCTCCCCGCTGGTCAAACGATTGATTCGGACAAGTACTGTCGCCAATTAACCAATCTGAATCGAGAAATCAAACAGAAACGTCCGATTTTGTCAAATCGCAAGGGCGTAGTCTTTCACCACGACAACGCAAGACCACACGTTTCGAGACAGACGCTGCGCAAACTGAACAGCCTGCAATGGGATGTCCTAACTCATCCACCGTATTCTCCTGATATCGCACCTTCTGATTATCACTTGTTCCGGTCATTGCAAAATCATTTAAATGGAAAAAAAATTGACTCTTTGGATGCCTTAAAAAACGTCGTGTCTTCGTTCTTCGAATCTAAAACGCGCAGTTTTTATGATCGGGGCATCCGTATGTTGCCAGAACGTTGGAAAAAGATTATAGACAACGATGGAGAATATATCATTGATTGAATAAAGAACTTTGTTTGCCTAATCACTGTCTGACTTTTACTCACAAACTCCGCATGCACTTTTGCACTCACCCAATAGTTCAACAGATTTAAATCTGGACTATTCGGAGGCCAAAACTCTTTGCTCCGAAACATGTCGACGTTGTCCGACAGCCAGTTTTGGATCAAATGAACTCGTGCGCCGTTCTATTGGAAGATGTACGGCCTTCTGGAAACTATAGCGTCCATCCATGGCTTGACTACTGTTGTCAGAACGCGTAAATATACTTCCTATATGACGGTTTCGCCTTTATTAAAAAAATGTGGCAGCATGACGTCATCCTCGTTAGAGACAACGCTTAGGACGTGAGCATTGGCTGAAAACTTCGTCCTAGCTAAAACGGGGACATCTTGGAGGTCATGCGAGCCAACGGCCGTTCCTGCGGGTCACTTTTGTGTCGACAATAAACATTTTCTTTTTACCACCTCAACTTTACCGTCCTCAGGATCTCCGAATAGATATTCTTCGTGATCGTTACCTCCTTCTGGAATTATTGTTGCAGCCTAACGGCAATTACGAAGTACTTATCGCCTTCTTCCTTACTTGGATTTTTCTTGTCGAAAAGAAAGAGCCCTTTTCGGACTCTTCTGAGGCTGTGTACCTCTAGGCAACATTGTACTCCGTTGACCTGAGGTATTCGAGAAAACTTATTTCGGCTTCTTTCCGGCGCGAAGACTTTCAATGATCGCTATCCTCCGGTTAAATTTCGGATTTAACTTGAGCAACTCGGCTATTTCGCGGTTATGAACGTCTCACTCACGTATTTGGTTTACCTCAGCATCAAGTGACACTTACAGCTAAATTCTAATATAGTGGAAATTTCAAATACAATTTTGTCTGTATTCTAACAGTGCACCCTGTAGTGGAAATTTTAACGAATTCATAAATAGACTCATTTTGTGCTACAACTTCAATAATATATGTTATTATATTTTAATGAAATTATATTATGACGATGCAAAGTTTTGTTCGTCGCTCAGGCCAATGGCCTGGCCGAGGATAAGCCAGAAATATGCGCTTTCTCATACGAGAAGATGACAGAAGTTTATAATTTTGTTTCGTGCGCCGTTTTGTGCACAAGACGCGACCTGCAGCTATTATTAATATTGTCAATGTAAGGTCATCCACGTTGAGAAGCCAGCAAGTTGGACCTAAGGAGAAATTGGAGCTGCCAGGAGGAGCCGAGCGCGAAAGAGTAAAATTCTTGAAGAGCAACTAGAGCGGTGTATGGAAGGGCGCGGGGAATTTTCCTTTCCCGGATAGATGACTAGCGACGGACAGCGAGGATGGCCACTTTGCGCTGAGAAGAGCGCAAGGACCCACGACCCGGTCGCAAATCATGCGAAAGAGGATCCCTTCGAAAGGGCTCAAGGAATTCTTTCAACTACTGCGAGCCCAGTAGTTACCGAAAGTCGTCCCGTGAGGAACAAGGACAAGTTAAGCGTCGAATAGACGCGAACCTCCCGCGAACATTGTGATAAGCATGATCTAACCGGGAGAGCCAACTGGATGCCGCATCAATCGGCGCGACAGATCCTTGTGACGGTTGCGTCCTGCGCTAATTGACGAGCCATGCTCGTCACTATGCGGCCCGACGGCGATCATAACGAAGGTCGGTGAGAGCGAGCGAGCGAAGCTGCCGAATTAGCGGGACGATTTCCTGAGGAGGAGAAGCGAGCTTCAGGTGGCGAGTGGGTGAGAGAAGAGAAACTATGTACAGCCGCGGGTTAGAGTTGCTTTATAATTCCAAGTCGGTTGCCGTCGCTTCTTGACGGCACCTGCGCAAGTAGTAGACCAAGAACTTGAACTCGTTTAAGGCCCATCGCGCCCTGAAGGTCGGGACGCTAGAACGTGCGAGATTTTGGAGCCACGTCGCAGGGCGACGAAGGCAGTTCTCGAGAGGGTTTAGAGCTTAGGTATCTCGGAGACTCAGACACAAGACTCGGCTACCTTCTCTAATGACCGGTCGCACTGTCCTCGGATGTTAATTGTCGATATTGCTTGTATTACTAGGTGTATGCATAAGTTTTTTCCGGTTTTTTTGGTAAAAAAAAACACATAATTTTCAAGGGAAATTAATTTTTATTTTATTCAAAATATTGACCATCGGCTTCTACACATTTCGCCCATCTTTCAGGTAATTTATGAATACCATGCCAGAAAAACTGCTTGTCTTTCGCGGCAAACCATTAGTCGAGCCATTTTCCAACTTCCTCGAAATTGCTGAAGTGCTGCTCTGCGAGCGCGTGCCCCATTGATGCGAAGAGGTGATAGTCAGATTGCGCCAGGTCTGGGGAGTACGGCGGGTGCGGAAGGATGTCCCATCCAAGCGATTTCAAGGTGTTTTTCACTGGTTTTGCTGTGTGAGACGGCGCATTGTCATGTAACAAAATCACTTTGCCATGTCTTCTGGCCCATTCCGGTCGTCTTTCGATTAATGCGTGGTTTAAATTAATCATTTGTTGGCGATAGCGTTGTGTATTAACGGTTTCGCCGGGCTTCAAGAGTTCATAATACACAATACCGCTCTGGTCCCACCAGACACTGAGCATGGTCTCCTTGTAGAAGCGATTTGGCCTTGGTGTTGATGGACCGGCTTCGCCAGGTGAAAGCCACGATTTTTTCCGCTTCGGGTTTTCAAAATAAATCCATTTTTCGTCACCCGTCACAATTCGATACAAAAATGATTTCCTTTCGTGGCGTTGAAGCAGCATTTCACAAGTGACTTTGCGATTTTCCATTTGACGTTCATTCAAATTGTGTGGGACCCATTTACCGAGTTTATTGATCTTTCCCATTGCTCGTAAACGTCTGCTGATTGTTTCTTGTGATACATGTAATGCTTCTGCTAATTGCCGTTGAGTTTGAGTTGGGTCATCATCCAATAACTCCTGCAATTGCTCGTCTTCGCATTTTTGTGGTCTACCAGAGCGCTCACTGTCTTTCACATTAAAATCACCATTTTTTAATTGTCGAAACCATGTCTCACATGTTCTAATCAATGGAGCGTGTTCACCATATGTTTCTACCAGCAAACGATGACTTTCAACAGCCTTTTTCTTTTGATTAAATAAGAAAAGCAATGCGTGCCACAAATGTTCTTTTATAAGCACAAAACTCGACATGATCACTGAACGATAAAACAAAGACGCTAGTTTTTGGCGGACTCAACTTGTGTGTGTTTGTAGTTTTAAATGTCAGACGAACAAAATGACGTATGTGTCAAATTAATACGCTGCGTACTTTTCGCTGGCGCCATCTCTTAGTTAAACAGGAAAAAACTTATGCATACATCTGGTATATTAAGCTGTGTCCTTGAATCGCGTGTTTTTTGGGAAACTGCTTCTAGCGAGCGAGTTAACACGAGTATAATACATAATTGGCCAGAAAGCAATAATTACTCTCAGGAAAAGCCCGGCTGGCGTCCATTGGAAATCCCGACGAGATTCGCGTAACGAAACTAGGCTAGAGAGCAATTCTTTGTTTGTTAGCATGACGCGCGTTGCCATAGTTGCCGTCGAACGGCTTAGATCCGCTGCTTAAAAGCATCTCGTGTAACATTTCAAGCGAAAGATTACTCTCTATTAATTGTGTCACGGGATCTCCCGGTGTATAGGATCGTTGCGTGTAATTGAAAGTAAGCATGCAGATTAAAGTATTATTATTCGTATGTTAAATTCGTCTATAATTTATTACCTCTTCCGCGATCTCCCTGAATTTCATTGCGTAAAGAGCAAGAAGGTGAAAGGATCACAACGCTATTTTCACTCGGGATATCGAAGAGTTAAAATCACTATGAATAAATTGATAGTATCAATAAATTGATACTGATCTAGCCGAAATGGGTCCGCTATCGCGAAAGCGGGTGCGAAGATGACCTGCAACTGCGCGGACAATAATCATATTGTCGTTGCAAGTGTTGCAGTGTGATAATATACTTATTTAAATAAGTTAAATACAGGTTAAGTTCCTTTTAAACATCATACTAAGTAGAAACATGAAATATATTAGGTGTACAACTTTGCTCTCGTCATTTTTTTTTAATTTGAGGCTTTATTGTAAAAAAATGGAGATAAAGTTATGACTCAAAGTATTGTCCATCACTGGTCACTACTTTCTTTCATCTTTTGGGCAATGCACGAATCCCGCGTTGAAAAAACTGGTCATCTTTTGAGGTAATCCACGAATCTATCCATTTTCCGATTTCTTCATTAGACTGGAAGTGTTGGTCAGCCAGGCCGTGTACCATTGATCGGAACAAGTGATAATCCGAAGGTGCAACGTCTGGAGAGTACGGCGGGTGGGGTAGGACTTCCCATTTCAACGTTTCCAAGTATGTCTTGACCACTTTTGCAACATGGGGTCGAGCATTGTCATGCTGCAAAATCACTTTCTCGTGTCTCCGGCGTAGTGCGGCCGCTTGTCTTTCAATGCTCGGCTCAAACGCATCAATTGAGTTCGATACCGATCGCCTGTGATTGTTTCGGTTGGTTTTAATAACTCGTAATACACTACGCCGAGCTGATCCCACCAAATACAGTGCATTACCTTGGAGCCATGAATGTTCGGTTTGGCCGTCGATGTGGAAGCGTGGCCGGGAACTCCCCATGATTTTCTGCGCTTGGGATTATTGTAACGAACCCATTTTTCATCTCCAGTCACAATGCGATGCAGAAATCCTTTTCGTCTCTGCCTTTCAAGCAGCTGTTCACAAGCAAACAAAAGCCGTTCAGCATCTCATGGCTTCAACTCGTACGGCACCCAATACCCTTGCTTTTGAATCATTCCCATGACTTTGAGGCGCTTCGAAATGGCTTGTTGAGTCACTTCCAATGATTGTGCCAATTCTTTCTGAGTTTGACACGAGTCTTCATCAAATAATGCTTTCAATTCAGCATCTTCAAAAATCTTTCCTCTTCCACCGCTATGCCGGTTTTCGACGTGAAAATCACCGTTCGTGAAGCGTTGAAACCACTCACAACACGTTCTTTCACTAATAGCGATCTCACCATAGGTATTTGAGAGCATTTGATAAGCCTCAGCCGCAGATTTCTTCATATTGAAGCAGAAGAGTAAAACCTCCGGCATATGACGAGAATTCGGCTCGTAAACTGACATCTTCAATCGACGATAACTTTATAATACAGATACAAATTGACTAATGTAACTATTAGGTTATGTTGACAGATGCCCAAGTTGATTGTATGACGTATATGATCTATTTACTTTGACCACTAATTTCCACTAAAGCTATCTATAGTGAAATGGCGGGAGCAAAGTTGTTCACCTAATAGAATAATATTAAATTTTTACAACATGCACACAAATTGATATAAAACAGTATAAAATATTACCTCTGCTCTTGTAATAGCGGAGAAATTTGGACTGAGATAATAACGAATCCCCTCGGTACTTCCCGGTAGAGTAATACCTCTTATCAGCAGAATCAACAAGACTGCGTAAGGAAAAAGAGCGGTAAACCAGACCACCTTCAAAATAAACAATCAAATTGTAACATTTTCTTCTAAAGAGTTACATACAGTAATTATAAATATAGTGAAGAATTATCCTGATGGAAATATTTTTCTTAAATACTCTTTCAATTGACCCAATTTCACTAATAAAAACAGTTTTCAGGTTATTTTAATTCAGTAAATTTCATAATATTTAATATTTCAAAAATTTTGTTATTATTTTATTATTATTTTTCAAAATGATATTCTAATTTATATTATATTTCATAATATTACACTGAATTTCATCATAAAAATTATGGTATATTTTTAAAAATTTATTATTATATATTTCAGTAATTTTTCTGTAACTTCCGTCAAGTTCATATTATACCAGTACTCGAATATAAGGAAAGTTAAAATATACTGCTAAAATTTATTGAATTTAATTGAAAATTGTATGCATAGAGGGAATGATAATGAAATGAGATCGATTGAGAGAAAGTTTCAGTAAAGGTTTTAACATAATATTTCCATTAAGTTATATACCAAAAAATTGTATACATTCCGAACATATATCGGAAATAATTCAAAGATCAATTTGAGGACGTATTTAGAATTAAAAAGTTTGTATAAACATGTGTCCTAAACATAATCGTTGTCAAGTTATTGTTTACTTCTTAATTTAAGATAGAAATCCGGTTAAAAATTCAACAGTTACTTCTACAACGTACGGCTATGTGTATTGAACAAAGTGGTGATAGTTTTGAACATTTCTTGTAAGCAAAATAAAGAAAATATATAAGAACACTTCTTATAGTAAATCCTATTCCATTCAAATGTTGGCTACTTATATTATGAAATAAACAATATCTAGACAACGATTAAGTTTAGGATATATATTAATATGGATTTTTTGACTCTGAATATATTCACCAATTAATCTTTAAAATATTTCTGATATGTTTTCAGGCACTTTATATAGTAATTCATAATTAGCAGCTAGTAAAATGTTTAATCCGCTGCATACCATTAAAAATTTAATACTGGCAATTATTTAGAAATGTGCAGATTTTCTGCAAATTTCTGATTAAATAAATTTACTGATTAAATACTTGCAGTATTTCAATAATTATTTATCCAGTGCTTAAAAAGATATTCTTGTCTAAAATTCCAAAAAAATTTATTGTATTTTTCGAATATATTTTTCCCTTTTAAACGTTTTAAATGCTTCTAAAAAATAAGTTTCTAGAATATTTTATTGAAATATGGAAAAATAATAAAGATATAAGTTTTATAAGTTGCGGTGCATGAATTGAAAATTATTGCGCTCGAAGGTAGTTACACCCAACAAATACTCTATCTGTTCTAATATTTCAGGCCTATCCTTCTGTTAATTGACTTATTGATTGTGGGTATTGTGTGTAAGTGTTAGTTTAAAACGACCGATAGAGATTTTAGAAGGACAATTTTTATAAACATTTAGTGTAATCTCTACTGTTACATAACAAACATCGCAATTGATAGAAAAAATTCAAGATCAAATATCATATGCTTTGACAAATAAAATATAGACAATTTCATGGAAATCGAAGTATACCAGGTGTAGAAGAATGAAACTGGAATTTTTTTGTAAAACTTACACGTCCGATGTTAGAAAATGATAAAAAATATATTATTCAAAATAATGTCCATTGCTATTTATACATTTTTCCCACATCTCCGGCAGTTTATGAATGCCACGCCAAAAAAACATTTCTTCTTTTGAAGCGAACCAGCTATCGAGCCATTTTCGTACATTTTCACACGAATTGAAGCGTTGTTCAGCGAGAGCGTATCCCATTGATGCGAATAGATGATAATCGGACGGAGCCAAGTCTGGAGAATAAGCCGCATGCGTTAGTATTTCCCAACTGAACGCCTCGATCGTTTCCCTGACACGTTTTGCTGTGTGATGGGGCATTATCATGGAGCAAAATGACTTTGTGTTGCCTTTTTCCATATTCCGGTCGTTTTTCACGCAATGCTCGATTTAAATCGATCATTTGCTATTGGTAGCGATCAGTGTTAACGGTTTTACCACGTTTTAGCAGATCATAATAGATTACACTCTTCTGATCCCACCAAACACAGAATATTGTCTTCTTTCCAAAGCGATTGCAGTGGATGTCGATGGTTCACCTGGATTCACCCATGATTTCTGACGCTTAGGATTCTCAAAATATATCCATTTTTCATCACCTGTCATGATACGATGGACTTTCTTTTGTATCTGTCGAGCAGCATTTCACAAGTGGTTTTTCGATTTTCTTGCTGTCTTTCATTCAGTTCATGCGGAACCCATTTTCCCACTTTCTGAATCTTTTCCATGGCTTTCAAACGAATTGAGACAGCTTTCTGCGTCACATTCAATTCATCCGCGAGTTCTTGTTGAGTTTGAGTATCATCTTCATCCAATAAGGCTCGCAATTCGTTGTTTGCTTTTTCGGTGGTTTCCCACGCTTTTTGTTTTTCACGTCAAAATCACCACATTTGAATTTTTTGAACCACTCGAAACACTGTGTTTTACCAAGAGTATGTTCACCGTAAGCTTTGACAAGCACTCGATGCAATTCTGCAGGAATTTTCTTCTGCAGGAATTTTCTTCATATGATTACAAAAAACCAATGCTGTCCGCAAATCGTAGTTCGTGGGCACAAAACTCGACATGTTTAAGGTTATAGAAATATATATCGGTGTATGGAACTTGGCTTGTTGTGTGTTGAAAATCTTCGTCAGCTGTTAGAGGGAGTTGATGGCGCTGCAGAAGCGGTCTTACGGTCCCTAAACTGATGGCTAGCACCATCTATAAAGAAATTCCGGTTTCATACTTCTAAACCTGGTAAATACGCGATACGTAAACGAGAACAAAAATAACTGACTTTTATTTAATACGGAAATAACAATAAAGGGGAAGAAAATCAAAGAAAAATTATGAATAACTCGATGCGGTAGCTTCTGGCTGTTACTGTCTGAGCGGTCTGAGCGGTCGTTCTTACGCGAAAACGTAAATAAATTCGCAACCGCTAATGTCGAGAAAGCAATCTATATTAGAAACGCGAATTGCACGAAAGGCATGACATCAAATCAAGGAGCGCCGTAGCGACGGTCGCTCTGACGCTAATATGAGAGTAATAATAATAATTTACGCACGCGACGATATAAGATGTACGCGATAACACAATAACCTCTACTCATACGACCCCGACAAGATCGAACGACTTGCGTACTGTTGATCGCGAGTATCGAAAAGCTAACTTTTGAGTGCAAATCTTTGCCTACTCGAAATCTACTACAAAAATAACGCACGTGACACCAAAAGATAAGACGCGATAACGTTATCGTTAACGAACGTTAACACGAAAGTACGCCAAACGAGAACGAAAACGCAACACTAACGGAAAATGTGAAATACACGAAATACTAAACGCGATAATCCCAAGCTCTGCCGGAAAGTGAACAACGCGAGCCGAACGCAAAAATATTTCGTCGTTTGCAACTCTGAGTGGCGAGCACGAACCCAAAATTAATAACGCAATTTATCTGCGACCAGTGCGCTAGATAAGTGCGAGAGGAAAGCCAAAATTTCCCCGAGAGAGGCGCGAAAAAAACGCCGATTACCTGCGACTAGCGCACTAGATAAACGCAAAAAAGACGCTACTTGCCTGCAACCAAAGCGTTAGGTGGACACGTAAGAGAACGCCAAAAACGTGATATATGAGGTCTGTTCAAAAAGTATCGCGAATTTTGAATTTCCGCGGGTTACGTATATTCGATTTTCGATTTTTTTGTGGCGTTATGTTGGTACTCATGTCCCTCACTTATGCCGACAAGTTCGGCCATTTTGAATATTCAGTTTATCTTTGACAGCTGTTTTGCTTGGGCGTGTTTTGGCTCGTCTTCGATTTTTGCCTATTCCAAAAAATGGATCAAAGAATCTAACAAAATTAAATGCGCGGACGCATTTCGAATGTTGACTGTGGCATATGGTGAGGCTACCTTGGACAGAAGCAACGTTTATTGGTGGTACAAAATGTTCTCAGAGGGCCGAGAAGATGTGAACAACGAAGAGCGTGCTGGACGCCCGAGCACGTCAACAACAGACGAAAACACTGATGAAGTGAAGAAAATAGTATTGGCCAATCGTCGAATCACCGTTAGAGAAGTTGCTGAGGACCTAAACATATCGATTGGCTCGTGCCATTCGATTTTTACTAATAATTTGGGCATGAGACGGGTCGCCGCGAAACTCGTACCAAAATTGCTCAATTTTGACCAAAAACAGCATCGCATTAACATTGCTGGGGAGCTGTTGGACTCGGTCCGCGACGACCCAAATTTGCTCCAGAGGGTCATAACTAGTGACGAATCATGGGTTTATGGTTATGCCGTGGAAACCAAAGCTCAATCATCCCAATGGAAGCTGCCGCATGAGCCAAGACCGAAAAGCGCGCCAAGTTCGGTCTAATGTGAAGGTTTTGCTTACAGATTTCTTCGATTGCAGGGGCATCATGAGTTCTTGCCACAGGGTAGAACGGTCAATAAGGAATATTACCTGCAAGATATGCGCAATTTGCGTGAAGCAATCCGCCAGAAACGCCCGGATTTGTGGAAGAATAAAAATTGGCTTTTGCACCATGATAACGCTCCTACTCACACATCGTTGCTTGTGCGCGAATTTTTGGCCAAAAACAACACACTAATGATGCCGCAGCCACCATATTCCCCAGACCTGGCCCCCTGTGACTTTTTCTTGTTCCCGAAACTGAGGAGGCACATGAAAGGACGACGCTATGCTACGATTAAGGAGATAAAGACGGCATCGAAGGAGGAGCTGAACAAGATCACAAAAAATGATTTTTTAAATTGCTTCGAGGATTGGAAAAAACGTTGGCACAAGTGTATAATATCTGATGGGGATTACTTTGAAGGAGACGAAATAGATGTTCATAAATAAATAAATAATTTTGGAAAAAACACAAAATTCGCGATACTTT